AATGCCATTAAATGTCCCAGCTTCAAATTAAGAGACTTCCTAGATGTGAGACCATATACACCTGGAATACAAAGGATTTTGTTCTAAGTAAAAACATGCCCATAATTTTAAATGCCCTGATATAGCAGGATCAGTTGTGCATCAGTTAGGTCACTTACTACTTCTGATAAACCTCATGTACTGTATCTTTTAAAACAAGCTGTTTTCTCTTTGTAGCAATTTATTCTCTAAATTCAGCTCTCTTTCATGTTACATCATCTGGGGTGGACCAGATAATAAGCAGAATGGAAAAGGAATGGAATACCATTTAAAGTGTGCCATTTGATTTTTTAAAAAATTATCCTTTAATTTCAACTCTGAGAATTCTCCATTCCGGGCGTTCCACCTGACAGACGTACACCTAAGCATATCTCCCCTGGAAAAGGGTTTTGCCGGAGGTCTTCATGGCCCAGCTTCCTGTTTAAAAAGGAAGCCAACATGGTGCTTCTGTGGCCATCTTTCTCCAGGAGCATCCTATAAAGCTTAAAGAACATTAGACTATAACTTCCAGGAAGTGCTATGGAAGCTTCCTTTAAAAAAATATTACCAACAGGAAGCAAGGCTCAAGATAGCCATGCAACCTCAGGTATAAACTCTGGTCCAGGTGAGCAAAATATAGATGTCTATAGTTTGGGTATGTGGGCTGCAACTCCAGGAACACTTCCTGGGGAATTCTGGGAGTTGCGATTTAAAAAAAAGCCTCACCCCTTGAACCAAATATCAAGAGAAAGCAAGGAGGAAGAAATGAAGGCTATAATAAGCACCCAACAGGAGTGGCATTTAAGTGGCTAGGATGACCATTTCTTCTAGCACACTCCTCTCTCAAGAGGCATTTTCTATTTGGAATGTATATCTGGACGACTGTGTGAACAAGCCTTATAAGTTAATTTACAAGGACTCAATGGAGGAATCATTTAACATCCACTAGATTTTCTGACTTCAGTGTTTGCCGAAATATCTCTGGAAGTAATAGACATCTCCAATTCTATAGGACTGGGATTTATGACAGAACAACAGGCAGATACTTGTAAAATAAACATACCCAATATCATCATCAACAACATGGGCATGGCTAATACAGTACTGGGGACCATTAAGAAAGAAACCGAAGGCTTGATTTTTGCTGCACAAACATTCCAAACCAATGTTATGAAAGCTAATATTCAAGGAATTACTGCTAACAGCAAATGTCAACTCTGCCAAGAAAAATATAAAACTATGTCACACTTCATCTGTGAATGTCCAAAGACTGCACAAACAGATTACAAAATTAGCCATGATAGAGTGGCAACATAAGTGCACTGGTTATTGTGCAAAAAATATAACTTGCTAGCCTCCAAAAACCCATGAGAACATCAGTTAGTGAAGATGTCAGAAAATGACAAAGTTATGGGATTTCCTAATCCAAACTGGTAGACAACTTGAACATAACACACCAGACACAGTAGTTATAGAATGAAGAAATGTCTGGATCATTGACATTGCAATTCCAGGGAATGCCGGAGTTGAAAATAAAGAATTGGAAAAGCTCTCACAATACAGAGATCTGGCAATCGAAACATCTTGCTTTGGGATGAAACACACTTCAGTGGTCTCCAATGTTATTGGGGTTTTGGGAACAATATCAAGAAATTTCACACAGTATTATAAGCAGTTGCAGATCTCAGAAATCACACCATCAGAGCTACAAAAAAACAGCAAGATTAGGAACAGCATACAATCTGTGCCAATATTTAAAACATGCTTAGGTTTTTGATTAAAACTTGTATCTGTTAAATAATGCCGATGTTTTCATAATTTTTGTTGATTGTGCCTCTTGTCTTTGAATAATAATAATAATAATAATAATATCCATTCTAACTTATGACAACCATTTTTCAGGGCTTTTCAGGTAGAGAGTACTCAGAAGTAGGTTACCATTCTCTTCTTCTGGGGAAATGTCTGGGGAAGAAGTGACTCCAAGTCCCATACCAGGGGTTGTTTGTATTGAAAGCTGCCGAGAGGTCCAGGAGAACCAACAGGGACACACTCCCCCCCCCCCTCCTGTTCCTGGCGTAAGCCATCCACCAAGCAGTATCCTCCTATAACCAGGCCTGAAGCCAGACTGAAATTGATATGAAGCCCATGTTTAATTTAACATGTTTCAATGAAAGGTCATGAAATAGATCCAAATCTAATACCTTTGTATTTGGTCACCACCGCTGAGTTCATGCTATGAGGTTCTTGGAAAGTGACAGTGAGTGATGTACTGCTTGTTACCATAAGGCAGACATTAGTTGGTGCCTCGGGGGCTCCTGGGAGGGAAGAGAAAATATTATGTCATAGGCAAAACAAATACCTTTCAAAACAGTACTCAAAAGTCAAAACCATGCAACAGTGGAGAGCTCAGGTTTACAGATATTTGTTTTTGGCTTTTAAACTAAGGAGCAGTCCAGACTCATGAGGGCTGATGAGATCCATTTATTTCTCGAGTGGTTTTATCTCTTTTGGATAAGAGCGGAAACACTCCCTTCATCCAGCACTTCCCAACATATATGCCAACAATGTATGCAATCCTGGCTTGGGGATCTGTTGAATTGAAGATTCGGATAAGTTATGATCAGAAGAAACCAGGAGGTCATACATTTAGGTGCAAGGAAAAAGAGAAAGCGGTAACAGGGATGGAAAAGGGAACACGAGCTGGTTTCTAATTTTTGATAAGAGCAGGGAGAGAGAGGGAAAGAGCTTGTCAATGAAACATTTTTTTCTCCCATAAAGAACAGAACAATTTAAAGATTTTAATTACTTCAGGGTTTGCTTTTCAGCTGATTAAAAAAATTATCTATTAAATCTAAATAAAACACAAACACAACAGAACCCCCATATCTGCAGAATTGGTGTACTACAGAAATTTCAATGCAGAGATTTGGCTGAAATATTGAAAGAAGTGTAGGATAATTACAATTCGGTAAGTCAAAGCTACAAGTTCTGTTCCAATGGAAACAATGAACTGGGAGGTTTAGACTTCACACAAATCTTCTTTCGTGCCAGGTCAAACTATTGGTCCATCTAACCTAATACTACCACCTACTCAAGGGTGTCTGTATGCAAAACATGAAGTTGTTCTAGACCTGATCTTTTCGAACATCAGGACTGACGAACCCAATTACATTAGATGTAGAACAATAGATTGCTGCATTTTGGGGTAGAAACAAACATTATATTGCCTGTGATTAGCACTGTAACTACATTAGTGCTAGAGAGATGTAATTCGGGCAGAACTTCCTGTATGAAAAACCACGTTTCAACGGAATCGTAGCTTAAGTTTTTTAAGGCTTAAGTTGTGAAAACAAATTAAAAAAGAAAGCAATACAAAATTCAGATTGCATCAGGTGAGAAAAACTCATACTGTGTGCTCTGGGGGATTCAGTAATTAAGCCATTCCCTCTTCTAATGAGAGATTATCAGGAATGCCAATTTCTGCCCTTAATGATGAACCATTCTCATTTTGACACTAGAGACCTTAAGAGAGCAATTAGTGACTGCAGAGGTTTCTATACACTGATTACAAATGGCAACCTGCCTTGTCCAGTGGACAGAAAATGGGATAAATTTTCTTGAACCTCACAGTTTTCTTTATTCCAGGTCTGGGCATATTGTTTTACCTCCACCAGTTTTCCTACCTATCTAATTCAGGTTAATTGTTCTGCATAAATTCTAGTGGGGAATAATTAGGAAATGGCTGTGCTATAAACCTTCCAGGTGTGCTTATACTTAGGGCCACGTCATGGATGCATTGCACCCCTGGGTGTTCTTACTGGAAAGTTCAAAGCCTGACTTCATTCGTTTGTAGAGCCGGTATCTCCACTCCCAGGCCTTCAGCTGCTTTTCCTTCTCACAACTGTCCGTACTGAGACCATCGTTCATTACTTGTGCAGACAGGTCGTTCACTCGTTGTTGAGCTTCTTGAACTAAGTGGTTCAGGTGGATTGACCTGCTTTCCATATCAACAACTGCTTGGAGAAAAGAACTGTGAGTCAGGCCTTTTAATAAGCAAATTACAGCAAGAATAGAAAGAAAAATACTGATCATCTCTGGCCAAAAACACACTGAGTCTCAGAATCTTCAGCAACACTTCAAGAGACCCTAAAGATCTGCATGAGACCCAGCATAGAGATTGCAAGAAGCAGTGATGGCGGCCACAGGTGCTCTTTCAGAGCCAAGCTGGCCACCATGCATGGTTAGGGCACTTTGTTCATTTTGTTGGGTTGTCCATGGTGTAGTTCTGATGATATACTGTACTCCTTTGCTGGTACTTTAAAGATATTGCTGAAGAGTTTGATCTATTTCTGTAGATTGCCCAACCAGACTTTGGCAAAGCACTGCAATAACCACTTAAACATGAACACAAACTAAGGCTATATTTTTGTCCCCTTGGAGAACCATTTATGTATGATTTCAATATTTTGCCTTTACCATTCAAGGTGCCCTAACCATTCAAGGTGGCTTGTAACAAGAATCAGAAAC